GCCACATCCCAGTCCAATTAAATCCAAACCTCTGTGGATAGGACTCGGGGATCCATAATTTTAAAGTTCCCAGGTGATTGCAATGTTGATCCAAGCTAGAAAATGGCCTTCTGCACTGTCTCACAAAGTGGCCCAGCAGGATTGAACTCCAGTTACTCAATATGCTAATTTTTAAATAATACCCCTATTTGGGGTTCTTTTCTTTTCCTATCTCACTTCTCCTACTGAAACTTCCTGGAATCACTGCCCAATAAACTTCAGATATCAAATCGTGGCTTTCAGGATCAAAGGAAGTTGAGATCTGCAAAGTCGAAATATCTTGCCAAAAGTCTCACAGGCAGAACATGGCAAAACCAACATTTAATCTCCTGCTCTCCAGGGATCTTGCAGTATAATAAAAGAGATGGATATTCAGAAAACTACGATACCAGAGGAAATGAAAGTTCAAGTAGCTCTTTCAAAAAATGAGGAACATTAAAACAAACTAGCCAGCAATCACACGAGATGGAGAGTCAGGGAAATCTTTGTGGAGTTGGAATCATTTATGCTAGGCAAATGAGGAATTTCTGTAAGTGAAGCGGGCAGGGTCATTACCAGTGTTAGATGAGCAGAGCCCCAGAGACGGAGACAGGGGAGGTTTGGATGAGTGTGGTCAGCTTTGATGGGATGAACTGGGAGTTAGAGAGGCAAGTAGGGGGCTCTGATGGTTCCTGAAGACTAGGAAGTCCCTCTGGCCCCCCAGTCCTCAGGATTCTTCCTTAGCTTCCCAAACTGGATCTCCTTTTAAGGTATGGTAGGGTAAGAATCTTCTCTCTGGACCATTTTACCCAGAATGTGTGGGCAAAGGGGCAAAGCCATATTAGGAACGTGGATAGGAGTGGGAGAAGAAGTAGATCAATGTCAAGTCCTGCTGGTGAACCTGGGCTGCTCATAAAGGACCAAGTGGCAAGGTTAGGCATCTCCCTATGTCTTACTGTACTGGCCCCTTCATGGTCCAAACATCTGAGCCTGCTCCTGCCACAGGACCTTTGCCTCTGCTGTGCCCCTTTTGGAGAGCTCTTCCTCCAGGTCGCAGAATGGTTCCTTTCTCCATCACTCAGAACTCTACTCAAATGTCACTGCTTTGGAGAAGGCCTCCTGGGCTTCCTTCCTTCCCCCCGCCCCCCCGGCCCTTCCCATGAGTCACTCTCACATGGCCTCATTTTCTTACTTTATTGTACACAACACATCTGAAATTCACCTGAGGCCTGTTTCTGTTTCCTTCCTTAGGCTGCCAGTCTCCTTCCAGGCTGTGTGAGTGTGGGAAGAACTCTCTCTTTCGGTTTTGCTCCTAGGACAGTGAATGATTATCTGGATCATCCTGGGGAGCCATGCAGGAGGGGTCTGAGTGAGTGCTGGGAGGTGGAGGGAAGGCAAGCTGGTGTGAGGTGCTCCCTCTGCTTGGGCAGCCAGGCTGGTCTCCACCAGCCGTTCCAAACAGTGACCAATCAATACCAATAGAGGAGCTAAATCAGGTTAACACCCACCTCACTGGGCTGGTGTCATGCCATAAATGGCTTCACAGCAGCCCAAGGTCAAGGGTACAGCTCTCACCTTATTCCCATCCCCCTCAGCCCACAAGAAACCCATCCTTCCCTCAAATGTGTGCACCTGGACTGCTGTTCTTCTGGCCTGCCTCCCTCTCCTCCCATGAGCTATAATGTCCTTTTGTTCTGCATTTTATTTCTGTGCCCAAGGTCTGAGGTGATCACGCACATGCTGACATTTAAAGACTCAGCTGAGAAATCAATCAGTATGGTCTGTCCTTCAGCGCCTAGGGAAGCTACGTGGGAGCCAGGCCTCATGTGGCTCACACCCTATTGATCCGCAATGGCAGCTGTGGGCTGCTGCAAGTACACGTGAAACCTGACTTGGAAGAACAGGAAGCATGGTAGCAGTGGTCAGGAGTCAGAGTGCCTGGACTTGGGTCCCAGCCTCTGTCGTTTGCTGGCTGTGTGACCTGGGCCACTTGCTCAATCTCTCTGAATTTCCCTAAATGGAGATCTACACCATACAATTACAGTGCTTAAAAAAAATAACCATAAAGCATAGAAAATGATGTCTGCTACGTAGTGCTCTGTTCTTGTTAGCTATTGCTGTGGTCTTTAGATTGGGGGCAGAATCAGTGTCCATCTCCCGAGATTGTTATAGGGATGAATAATTAATTCCTTTAGCATGCTGTAAATGCTCGGTAGCTATTAGCTCAACCCCAACACAGAAGGAGACATCCTGTAGAGGATATAAGCCAAGGATAAAGATCCCCTGAAATAACTATAATCACTAGGGTAAGAAGGGGATCTGATTTAATAATTCACATACTCCCTAACTTCTCGGGGAGATAGGTGGCCCTCCAGAATGAGGGGGTTGCTGTGGGGCTGCTGGGACTCTGGCAGTAGCAGCTGCTTTGTCCCCAGGAGCATGTCCAGTCTGTGGTGAGACAGAGGACCACTGGGCTGAAGGGTCACAGGTCCTCATGTGACTCCCGAGCCTGATTAGAGACTGTGGGAGGTGGAAATCTGACCCAAGGAGCTCTGGGCTCTGGTCTCAGCTACAATGTCTTTTTATATCTATCCCGTGTCCGGGGCCAGGAGCTGATCATATGCCTGTTTGGATTGAGGGCAAAGGGGACAGAGGGCCAGGAAGGAGAGGATTAGGAATTACTCAAGTCCCATAAACATGACCAGAGACACCCCCTGGGATGGAATGTGAAAAGTGTGCTAAGTGCCTGGGGAGATACCACCTGCCTTGGCAGGAGGAAGGAGGGGAGCCCGAAGTGACTCAGCTTTGGGCTGGGAGTTGTACATGCACTTGGTGCAGAAGTGATGTGTCTCAAGTCTGAAGCCTCACAGCTAACAAAAGAAACAGCTGGGATTCGGGCCTAGGTTTGTGGATTTCAGTTGTGTTTCCTTGTTGATGGTACTGATTGATAACCCTGATGGACCAGAGACAGAACAGGGTTTACTCAGCCTCTACCAGGGGAAGTTTCCCTGTGCTGAGGAGATGCCAATATTCAGGTTACTAGAGAGGAGAATTCTGTGGTGGGACAGGGTTAGTGTGGCCTTAACAGTGTGGGCAGTGCCACAAGAGGCTCTGTTCCTGAGGCCTGCATACTTTGCTCATCTTCAGATTACAATTTCCTTTCCAGGGAACTTGTCAGCCAAATGTCTTCATGAATGACAGATTTTGGATCATGTGGCAATCCTGGATAGATAAAAGAGTATAAACTTTAGAGTCAGTCTGGTGTCCACACTCATTAGCCACCAAGTTCTTTAATCACTCTAAGCTTCAATTTCCTTCCTCTTCTGTAAGATGGAGTTCACGGAGACCCACCCTGAGGGAGCTATTGCAATACAGGCCTACCCCAGTGCCTGGCTCATAGTAGGGGCGCAATAGCTGGTAGATATTTTAAAACACACTGATGTTCTAATTTGTCAATCAGTCTTTCTTTTTTTCTTTTTCTTTTTTGTTTTTGGTACTGGGGATTGAACTCAGGACCTTGCGCTTGCGAGGCAGGTGGCGGCACCTCTGAGCTAAATCTCCAGCCCTGTCAATCAGTCTTTTATGAGTTGGTGTCTCAGTCATTGGGTGATAAGAGTCAAGGTGAGAGTTCCATCAGGTTCTAGAGATCTGGACTCAAAATGCTGAACTTTATTAATGCCTTAGGAACAGCCAGGTGGGGCCTTAGAGGAGTGTGGGCCTCCCGGACCATGGTAGTCGGGGCTCCTCAAGGCTGATGGTTACCTGATGGGGTAGAATATGCCTGAAATAGTTGATGAGGGCAGAGGAGTAGTTGAAGACCAGAACTGGTGGCCAAGGAACTTCTGATTGCCTGGCTTTGGAAGACCCCAGAGAGCCAACCAGACCAAAGGCAGGTGGCCTGGGCACTCAAGAATGCAGGAAACCACAGGCTGTCCCCGGCAGCTCCATCCCACCAACCCTCAGCATATTCGGAAGCCCTGGGGAGCTTTGCATGAACAGGATGCTGGGCTCATCCATAAAACTTCTGATTGAGTAGATCTGAGTTGAAACCTACAAAACTATATGTTTAAAACATTCTCCATGGCAAAATGTATATGCTATTAATTTATATCTGTAAAGTATAAATATGTTTATAGGCTCAAAATATCTCTGAAAGGCTACAAGAAAAATTCTAGCAATTGCCCATGGGGATAACTGAGGGTCAGGTAAGAAGGGAGACTTATTTTTCATTTTGACCCATCTGCGGGGTTGGAATTTTCTTTATTATCATGTGTATGTATTGAAATAATATGTTAACAAAAATTGTTAAATAGTTGAGGAGGGCAGGAATGTAGCTCAGTGGCACTACGCCTGCCTCATGGGTGCAAGGTCCTGAGTTTGATCCCTGGTACCAAAAACAAAAGAAGCTTCTTAAAATAGTTGAGGTAGTGGTTTCACTGCCTGCTACACAAGCGTAAGGACCGGAATTTGATCCCCGGTACCAAAAAAAAAAAAAAAAAAATAGTTGAGGTAAAATTCACATGAAATAAAATTAACCAGTTTAAAGTGAACAATTTAATGCCATGCAGCACATACATAATGCTGTGCAACTACCACTTCTATTCAGTCCCCAAATCATTTAAAAAAAAAACCCCTTACCCGTGAAGCAATTTCTCTCCTCTACTCCCTCCTTCCAGCTCCTGGCAACCATCCATCTTCATTCTGTATCTTTGGATTTACCTCTTCCCGTATAAATAGATCATATCATATGTGACCTTTGTGTCTGGCTCCTCTCACTTAGCATAATGTTGAGGTTTGTTACGGTCTGGATATGAAATGTCCCTGCAGCGTCTCACATGTTTGGAAGATGATGGGGGTGCTCTTCTCAGTGCATTGTTTGATGGATGGGTTCATAGCTGATATGCTGTTAGGAGGTGGGGCCTGCTTGGAGGAGGCGGGTCACTGGGGGTGTCACCTAGAAGAGTACATCTCCCTCCCTGGCTTCTCCCTTCTCTCTGCTTCCTGGCCAGCACGATGTGAGCAGGTTTCTCTGCCTGGCCCTTCCACCATATTGTTCCTGCCTTGCAGCAAGCTGACTCTGCAAAGACTAACTTCTGAAACTGTAAGCCAAATAAAACTCTTCTCCTTTAAGTTGTGGGTGTTGGTATTCTGTCTAAGTAACAAGAAAAGTGACTAAGACAGGGTTCATCCATGATGTAGCATGTGTCAATATGTTGTTCCTTTTTGTGGCTGAGTAATATTCCATAGAATATTACTGTACCACAATTGTTTATTCATTCTTGACAGAAATTCATGTGTTGATGGAAATTTTGGTGTTTCCTCCTTTTGGTTCCTGGATGGCACTGTCATATCTATGCTTGGACTGGTTTGAGTATCAATTTTCAATTCTTTGGGTATATACCTAGTAGTGGAACTACTGTATCATATGATGTTTCTGTATTTAACTTTTTGAAGAACCACTTGTTTTTCACAGCAGTGGAACCATTTTATATTCAACTAATACAATTTCAAAGGAATTGTGTACAACAACAGGGAAAAATAAGCTCTTAAGCTTGTGTTTTCTGAATTGGAAAACTCCTGGTAATTTCTCTAAAATCTAAGTGAGTTCTTGGTGCACTGTCTGCCTGGCACTCTGCTGTATGCTGGCACAAAGAGCACGAGGTGGTGCCGGGGGGTGAGGGGGCTGGCTGCCCACGCTCCCCCTGCCTATGTCTCCCTTGCCCTTCATGTACACAGTTGCTTGTAACTTATTGTTACTGACTTTGAATGGAAGCTTTCAGCTGCTCCATTCTTCCTCTGTTCGTTGAAGGCCTGTCAATGGGATGGGAATTACAACCCTGGCTGCTGTTATCTGTATCTGTCGTCTGGCTGGCTGATATGTTACTGGCTGCACTTCCCAGGGAATTAATCCCCTAAGTGTGGACTACAAATGATGAAAACCTGGCACATAAATAAGGAGGCAGGCAGTGCTCCACTGAAAACCTTGGGAAGTGATCGTCTGGTCCCTGAACATCATACTCATAGCCCGTAAACTCTAGGGCTATCCACCCACAGGGAAACAGCCAGACTTTTCATTCATTCCTTCATTCCTTCATTCATGTATTCATTTGGCAAAAATGGATGCATTATATGGAATGGAGAACCTATTCTATGTGGTAATGTTCTAGATAATTCTACATGAATTAAATCAGATTTGTAATAGTTCTGTAATAGGAAGATATTATTGTCTTCAGTTCAAAATGAGAAAAAGGAGATTCAGAGAAATGAAGAAATTTCCCCAAAGTCACACAGCTAGTAAGGAGTAGGACGAAGACTTGAACCTGAATTCCTAGGGCTTAGAACCTGAATTCCTAGGGGTCCCTTCCTTTCTTCTCTACTTATTTACAACATGTCCTCTGTTCCAAGCACCCTCAGTAGGCACCAAGGATATCACAGTGAACAAGACAGCAGGTACAAGCTCTTTCTTGTTGCACTTCCACTCAGTTCTGTGGCTCCTGGGCATCATCTCAAACTGTTCAATTTCTTCTTAAATGTTCTCTTTCATATAATGAACAAATGCAGCACAGATCAAAGAGCTGTGACATTGAAGATGAATTAAATTTAGGCCCTGGGTTCAGGCCTCCTTGGATATAGACTTAAAATCTCATATTTCCAAAATGTGATGAACAAATGTCACTATGCCCCTTCCCTTCTCCAACACCTCCCACAGCCCCAGACCCTGCACACGTTTCTGTAACATGAGAAATGCTCAGGACCCAAGTGGAGCTCTCCATGTGAGCTGACCCAGGCAGATAGGTTGGGAAGATTGTTTTCAGAAGTGCCTTTTCTGTGTGTAATGTGAAATTCATGGATAGAGTGGCATCGGTCCATGGAAACATGTCTTCTGAGAAGCAAAGCAAAGTCCTCAAGATCTTAAGATGGAAAAGCCAGCTTTCCTTGAAAGAGGGCCTCAAGACAGGCATACACTAAATCCATGTGTGTACAGCACCCAGGTCCTCTGCTTGTTGTTGGTGCTTCTGGTTTTGCATATTCAGGTAAGTTTGTGCTTCTATTATACAAGTAGACATACACCAAGGTAGCAATGTTGTTTTAGTTGGAAGTATTTATCCTAATAGCTTTATAAATCACATGAGGATTGTATTTATAGCATTATTAAGAATCTGAAGGGGTCAGTTGAATGTTTGTTAGACTTTGCTGCTGGTTTATGGGAGATAATATATATATACTATCAAAGGCAGCATATTATAGATATAGATATATGCCATCAAAGGTATCTCTTTGCTGGGGATTTAGCTCAGTGGTGCCGCCACCTGCCTTGCAAGTGGAAGGTCCTGAGTTCAATCCCCTATACCAAAAAAAACCCAAACCAATAAATGAAGAGTTGGAGACAGTGAATAAATAGGGAGGCTTTACCAGCACCCTTGCATTCTGCCAATCTCCTCTTGTGGACTAAACAGTTTAAGATTTGCAGTCTAAAGTTTTGCAATCTAGACCAGTATAGCATCCAGCTGAGGGACCTTGGACAAACGAATTAAACTTTCGAGGCCTGTTTTCTCAACTGTTTAAAAAAATGAGGATGATGGCAACTCTATCTTACCTATGAAATGGAATGTCATGAGAGTGCAGCTGGACCCAGCTAGCAAACTACATGGCTTTGTAGTCCCTTTCCCACTTTCAAGCCTCCTACAAAATTTGAGGCCAAGACAACAAGGGGCCTCTGAAGGGAGGTGTCTTGGTTTCCTATGGCTGCCATAACAAATCACCACAAACAAGAGGGCTTAAAGCAATAGAAATTAATTCATAGTTTTGGATGTTAGAAGCCCAACGTTAAGGTGTTTGCAAGGTTTGTCCCTTCTGGATCCTCTATGGAACAATCCTTTCCATGTCTCTTTCGTAGCTTCTGCGACTCCAGCAACCTCTCGTGTTCCTTGGCTTGCAGAAGCATCCTTCCGATCTCTACTTCTGAGTTTTCCTTGTTTCTTTGTCTCCAATCTCTCTCTCCTTTCTCTTATAAGGACACTAGTCATGAGGCTTAGGGTCCACCCTAAATCCAGCATGATGTCATCTTGAAAGTCTTACCTTAATCATATCTGCAAAGACTGTTTCCAAAAAAAGTCATATTCAAAGGTACCAGGGAAAAGGGTTTGGACATATCTTCTTAGGGGAAACAATTCCACTTGCCACAGGAAGGAAAAATTAAATCCTCTTCAAGGGAAGTAGCCAAAGCTAATGAGAAAGATGAGGCTGTGGATCAGCTTGGTAAGGATGGGAGGTAAAGGATGTGGGTGAGGGTGGGAGACTGGCTTTTATGTGGGGCTATCTGTGGGGTATGTGTGAGCAGAGCTAGCACTTCCAAAATGTCAAACTGAATTAAATACCACTTGTCTCATGCCGGAATAAGAGTCAAGAATTTGGAACCTATGGATATTAGTTGCTTTCTTAGAGACATTGTGCAAACCTAGGGTGGATGACTTTGGGAAATCACTTAATGCTCAACTTGGATTAATGTGTTAGTCATCTTTCCATTACTGTAACAAATACCTGAGATATTCAGTTTATAAAGAGAAAAGATTTATTTTGGCTCATAGTTTTAGAGTTTCAGTCCATGGTTGGTTGGCCCTGTTACTTTTGGGCCTATGGCAAGGCAGCTGCTCATGGCAGGGAGTATGGTGGACCAAGCTGTTCATTTCATGTCAGCTGGGAAGAAAAGAGAGAGAGCAGAAGAGGAAGGGGTGGGATCCCACAATCACTTTCAAGGGCACAACCCGCAATGATCTGAGACCTCCCATAGACCCCATCCCTTAGAATTTCCACCACCGGACAATAGCTCCAGGAAGGGGACTAAGTTTTTAACGCCAAGCCTCTGAGAGACATTTAAGATCCAAACTTAGCATTTGGGTTCTCTAAAAGCAAAGCGAGAGCCAAGATTCCAAGGCACTTGACTTATGGAAGGAGTGCTCTTGGGAGAGAAGAGGGTTAGGGAAGTAAGGATGCAATCCCAGCTAGAATTGAACTTTTCCTGACCCCACAGGCAGCCCAAGTGGGTGAATTGCACTATAGAGAATTGTACCTCCTCAAAGTAGAGGCCCACCCTGCCTGTTGTCATGAGGGCTACAATAGTGGGGTGGGGGAACAAAGTGTAATTTGCTAAGAAAGGACCACTCCCTCTCACCCCAGGGCTATTCCTTGGAAAGAGGGGCGGCTGTGAGTCAACAGCAGCCACATTCACAATAGCTAGGGGACAGATGAACCTCCCCAGGACAGGGGACTAACAGTGTCTACTATATGTTGTGTTCTTTAATTTCCTCATCTAGAAAATGGAGTAAATGGTACAACTATCTGTTGGGAATGTTATAAAGTTTAGGTCACTACATGTGAAACTTGACTCATATACATGTTCAGTTATTGTTGCATAACAAACCCCCCACAGTTTAGCAGCTGAAAGCAACAACATTTATTAGCTAATACAGTATCTGCAGGTTAGGAAAGGCTAGGAGTTAGGTGCAGCTTAGGTGGGTGGTTCTGATTCACAGCCTCTTATGTGGTTTTAATCACATGTTGCAGTCATCTAAAGATGTGGCTGGGGCTGGAGGGTCTGCTTCCAAGATGGCATACCCACACAGTTGCTGGCAGGAAGCCTCCGTTCCTTACTACGTGATCATCTCCATAGGCTGCTTGTATGTCTTCATGGCATGGAGACTCCCACAGTGAACAATCCAAGAGAGAAAAGTTCGAAGAACCTGCAAAGACTTACGACCCTGTCTTAGGAATCACACATTGTCAGATCTACCATATTCTGTCAAAAGCAAGTCACTAAGTCCAACTAAGTCCCATAGTCAGGGAAAGGGGAATGAAATTTTGCCTCTTGAAGGAAGGAGTATCAAATAACCTGCGAAATTTTGAATCCAACTTGTTGTTACTAATTTCTGTAGCAAGCTTGGAAATTGCCCTCCAAGGGAAATTTGTGTTTGAAACACGAACACACGATGTACAAGGCATGAATCTCAAATGATGATGGATCATTTAGGCATTCAAGTCGAGTAGATTCCTTTGAAAGAGTGAGAGACTTCAAGGCCCATGAAGAAACAGCATATCTTTCAT